ACATAATGATGAAATGTCGTTACTACTTCATACCTTGACAACTCGCTACCTTAGAATTACAACGTTCTATCTGACAGTTGTGGACGTTGTTATTTACTAGGACCATTATATCAGAGAAAGTTCTATAGAACTTTTCATGTTCTATCTCTTCATTCAAAGTCGTATGATATTTATAGAATTGTATTTATAAAAAATGACATGTTGTGTACTTCAAACGTAAAAGGAACACGAATACAGCCATAAGTAAGTAAAGTATTGGCTGTTTCAGATCTGTATCAGAAATGCTAAACGTTGTCAAGTGAGGGGTGGGGGTCTACACTCCCAAAGTCCCGATTCGATTCAAAATTATGGAATTTGAGTCGTAGGCATTATTAGCTTCCTCATCCTTTCCTACAACTATTTCATCGCATAAGAACCCCTAAAAACCCTATTTCTCTCCATACATGGCATGTTTGTCACCACAATTTCCTCGTATTTAAGTCAATATTTCATTTATCTTTATCGGCCGTTTTCTCAAAACCCGATTTTTCTCTATACTTTTTTGAAGAACTCAACAATTTTTTATCCAATCTTCATGAAATTTTTCATAGAATGAAGAAAAGATGTAATACTAAACATTTGCTCCTGGTTTTTTAATATATACAATACATTTTTGTTGGTGGTGTCTGGAGTGTGGAATGTTACGATTTTTTTCGCATACTTGAATATTACTTCAGGAAAATATTCATTAAACTATTCTAATTCGTTTAGGAAAAAAACATCAGACAAATATTTAGATCTAATGTTTGTTAACATGCATGCAAAAAAAAAAAGCAATTAATTTCCATGAAAAATAAGTGCAGTATTCATTACGTAAGATTTGTCAACAAAATCCAATATGCTGCCGAATCCATGGAAACGAAACTTTTCTCTCAAATTTGATTCCTTACTATGCATGTTATATGTGCAAAATTAGGTAAAATTGGTCCACAAATAAGCGAGATAGCCTTCAGGTGTAGCCCTCCCCCCTTAGTGCTACAAGGACTAAACTTGCCGTTGCCGAAGTACTAATTGCAGTGTAGAACAGTAATATCATTATTCATACCACCACGCCAAACATGGCGACATCCGTGACATCACACCAGACATGACGACCGTCAGCGACCAATTATCGGAAGTAGAAGTGCGTTAAGTTGTATCATTTTTTTGTTGGAAATCAAAAGAAGAGAATCTCAGAGAAGGTTTTAACCAATTCGTTCCTTGGAAATGCGTACATGTACTTGGTGAAAAAGGCCCAGCATCACTGGTGCATTTGTTGAATGCAGAACAGACAGAAATGGTTGACGACTCATGAACCACAAATGGCAAAGTCAGAGACTAACATTCAGGGAATTGACTTGCGTCTTTGCAGCAACAATGGCAGGTGAAGATTAGAAAGATGGCAGCGGCGATTATTTTGTTTTTTTAGATACTATTTTTAGTTTCCGTAAGAGTATTGAGACACTTGCAACGCAGTTAGGTCAAAGAAGTGCCAAAAAATTAAATGACAGATAAGGACAATAGCCATTTGATAGGAAAGAAGGTGCAAACCACACCACAGCACCCACTGCGACTTTTGAGCTCCACAAATCGGTCATTTATGACATTGTTATTGAGCAGCTGGGGCTTCGTGCTGGGTCGACTCTATGTGCTCCGAAAGTGATAGCATTTCGACGCATTCGAATCCAGCGCCATGATCCGAAGCAACAACAGCAACAGAATTATCCCCACCACCACCAACAAAAACAAAAACAACAGCATCAACAAAAATAACAGCATCAACAACAACAACAACAACAATGACAGGAACAACAACAACATTGCCACTACCACTACTACCTACAGCAACAATATAAAGAACAACAACAGCAACAACCGTAACAATAACAACAACAGCAACAACAAAACAACAACAACAACAACAAAAACAACAACGTAAAAGTGTCGACTCAATGAGGTCACAAAGTACACCGACCCAAAGAGACGAAGACAGTCAGAGCGAGGCCATCATTCTACAACACTACAATGCTTCTCCTCTCAAGGCAAATGTGTCTAATACGCACTGCGCATTGTGGGATCGACAAACAAATCGCCAACCGATCACTCCGATTCGCGGCCCAAAAATAAATGCATTTGTCTTTGAGACTGCGAGTCGGCGATCGGTTTGTGCGACGATGGTTGCGTTGCGCCCCCAATCTGGCTAGCCCCATCTCCCAAACTGGAACTACTGGAACCGAACCTATTGTGCAAATATGCATCCCCTTATAAATAACTACACTATAATATTTTCCACATAGCCCTGCCCTTGGTCCATATCGGACTTTATTTTTTCTGGCCTTTAAAGCTCCGAGTCAGCATGAACATCTGTCACATGTTTTGAGAAACAATCATATTTAACCCAAGAAAGCTTTTCAGTAACTGGAAGGCCCTGCTTTAAGCGTATAATTTTGACAAAACAGAGCGTGCGTTGAGCAGTAGCATAATAATACAGTCTTTATCGTTGTTCCTATCAGAAATCATGAAAGGCAAGAAAATTGCACGCATTGACAATAGCCTTAAACTGCGTTTGGTAGTGTTGAAAGGTACATCTTCGATAGAGCTTTAGGATGGTGTAAAAGTCGAACATTCTCAAAATTTGGACATGATTAAGTGAATTTCTTGTGATAGCGACGAATGTGTCTTTTTCTTTCTACTTTCAGGCTTGTCAATATCTGACCTGTGTTCTCTGGTGACGATGCTGTGGCAAACCATCTGCAGCAACCCGCTGTTCTACATGTCTGAGTTTCTCTTTGACGCTGCTGACGTCATGTTCTTCACGGGCTCCGTACCTCGCGTCCTCTTCTCCAAGGTCACCAGCTTCATCACCGCCTTCTTCGCTTTTGAACGATGCCTGTGTATCGCTTTACCGCTCAAGGTCAGGGTGATCATCACACCTCTCAAGACAAAGTTCATAATTGTTTCAATCTACGCTCTCATGATCCTTATTCCCACTCCCTACTACGTTGGGTTTAGACTTGGGTGGGTTTTGGATTCTTCAAGAAACTCTACGATTCTGAAAATCTCATATTCTGAGGAGCAAAAACACCTGGAGGCGATTGTATATCTGATATACGGTGTGCTGCTGTCGATTCTTTCTTTCGTCTTCATCATCTGTTGTACCGTTGTTCTCGTCGTCAAACTTAAAGTCAAAACAAAATGGCGACAACTCGCTTCATCCCGTGGCGTTAGAACAACAGAAGGAGTCGCTGGAGCTAAGGAAAGAAAGGTTGGAAAAATGGTGACCTCAATATCCACCATCTTCGTCATCTGTAGCATGCCGTCCATTTTCCTTATTTGCTATATGGCTATTGAACCTGGTTTTCGTTTCAATGGAATGTATAAAAATATATATCATGTCCTCTGGGGTTTTGCGCTTATCACAGAGACTGTCAACTCGAGCGTGAACATGTTTGTTTACTTCAAGCTGAGCTCAAAATACCGAGCAGTATTTCTAAAAACGTTTCTGAACCGGGTAGAAAAGTAACAAATTATTATTCAAGAAAGAAAATATCACATTTTATCTGGTTGCCCGGCTGGAGATGAAGGGAAATAACCGAGCAAAACTGCACCAAGGGAACATTTTACTTTTAAATAGTCTGAACGTAGGAGCGGTATTCGATGCACGTATTACTTAGGAAGTCAAAGACTTATGATCAGTCCTCCATTAGCACTTTTTGTTGCTTTTTTATTTTGGTTAATAAAGCCACCTAGGGAACCTAAACAAATAGGTAGCGAGGAAAGATCAGGGATGTGTAGCATTTCTAAGAGCATTAGAGCAAAGTTATGAATGGAGAAACGTGATCGCCGATGTCTGTAGCAGATGAAGACAAAACTGTTTGTTACACCGAAGCCCAAGTGACATATTATGTTTTTGTTATGGTTGTTGTTGTTGTTGTTGTTGTTATTGTTGTTGTTATTTCATAGCCAAAGCCAGCTCCTTTTCCAATCACAGCTCGAGGTGCTACTGCTGCTTTGATGGCACTTTTCCTTGCAGTTGGCTGCGCTGTGCATGGCAGGGTTTTGTAGCAGTCTTTCTTTCCGGCCACGGACATTTCATAGTGAAGTTATCTGATTTGAGCATGGGTTAAGCTCGATGTCTCTTATAAGGGGACGGGGATTATGTGTCAGGCTATGACAAACGTCTTTTAAAGATGCATCACGAAATTTGCTGAGATATTTTTAGATATTGCGTTGGCGGTATGGGTGTTGTCAAATGTTGTTTTAGTACTTGTGAGTTTTGGAGGTGGTAGTGGTGTAAGGTAATAGTAATACTACGCTATGATAATAACGATGGTGATTGTTGGACAAATCCTAAATCAATCACTTAAAGACACCAATAACGTTGTTGTTAACAAACTCTACCTCGCCCTAGTACACTGTCGTCTTCTATTGCACCATTTGAGTTTGCTCCTCACCTAGACACGAAATCAGGCGCTGTACCATCTACTTGACATATCTCTACGGGGTGCCCACTACGGCTGGATCGGACCGTCCGCCCGACTAGATCGCCTGAAACTGAAAACAAACTCGTTTATTTTTTAGGCGACCGAGTCGGGCGATCGGCCCGATCGGCCTATCCCATTCGTAGTGGGATGCGGTTTGCAGTGGTGGTTCATGACGTCATGACCTGTCTTAGAATGAGCCCGTCGATCCTGTCGTTGGCCAAACTGGGCGGCCCTGGTCGAGGCCTGTCCTGGACCGTTCCTGTCGCTTGCCATCGGTCTTGCAGCTTCCATATGACTGATGGGGACACCTCAAGTCGACGTGCAATGACTCGGAAATTGGAACCGTCTTGGAGCCAGGCGAGGGTTCTTCCTCTGTCGACATCAGACAGTGAGCATAGTTGGACCATCGTGTTGTAGTGGAACATGGCCGAAAAACACTGGCTTATAAAGGGTTGCAAGTGAGCGATATTCACAGCCAAGACATCTGTTTAGCACGTG